TATATATATATATATACTTACTCACGAAGCTTATCACCCATAAACTATTATAATTATATCGATCCATGATCAACATTCTTAACAGAAACAACATCTTGCAGGGGCATGATAAATTTTCTCAATTGCATGAGAAAATCGGACTATTTTATTAAAAGAAATTCTTCCTTCTAAGTTGTATAAATAGGAAGAACGTATCAATGAAAAATATCTCTTTTATCTTCTATCTCTTCTACCTTCTATACTAAAGAAAATTATAATTTTTTTCTTAAAAACTACGAAATTAATTGACTAAAAAAATAGAGCACATTTTTCTTATTTTGTTCCAAAAGGGATCCACAAAAGTCAAATTCTAACAAATTGTGGCGCTGTCATTTATTCTAAGTCGGATCCACGCGCGCGCACACACACACCCTCGTCTCTCCAACACATAGCGATACATACCCTTATTTCTTCGTGTCAATCACCCCTCATCGATTCGGTACGCCATCAAACCAACCGTGTATCGTCTTTCCCAAACGGTCACGTTCGATCAATAGGGCATTCACTGTTTTTGGAGGGCGGGTAAAGAAGTCCCATTCGATGATCACAGTCTCTCTCAACTTCACATCACCCATCAAATACACTCATTTCTTGCTTTTGATCTTATCCTTAAAAATCAAAAGAAAATGAAGCAAATTCCACGTCTACAGTGCAATCCTACCTCGTGATTGACCGTAAGATTCGTGGGTACGTTAGCGTCGTGAACGAATTTTGATACGTCTTTATCACATTGCCATCGTCACCCCACAACCCACCTGCCTCGTGATTGGAAACCATGGCGGGGCCCATTAGAGTGACTTCCGACGGAGAAGGATGTTGGTACGGAAAAGAAAGAATTTCATAATATTATTAACGAAAACACAAAGAAATATCATCTAAATAACTTTTTTAATTAAAAATATTAATTAATTTAGTATCATAATTATAATTTATTTATAAATATTAAAAGAAAAAAAATTTCTTTTCTCACATTATTGATAGTAATTATTTGATCTCTATTTATAATTTGATTTTATAACAAATTAATAAATTATTTAATATTAGTTAAATTCACATATTCAACCCAATAATCATAGAAAATATTAATTTCTTTTAACAAAAGAGATGCTGCGGGCTTGCGTGTAGTCTCCGCTGCCACTTTTCCTTTTTGGCGTCCCGCGACGGAATCCGGTGCGGTTGTTGACGGCGACGTCCTCCGTCTCCTCCTCCTCTCCCCCTCGCCCTCCTCGCCGCCGCTGCTCCCTCTCTTCCGGAGAATCCCTTCGTGGTTTGCTGCCCCAAGCCGATTCTTGGACGAATGGAGGTACTTCGTTCACTTCTCCCTCCTTCCCTTCGCGTAAGTTCGATTTTCATTTTGCTTTTCCCTTTTTCTTCTTCTTTTTTTTTTTGCCTTTTCGTGAATCCCGTTCTTTTCTTCTCTATTTGTACCTTAATGTGTTAAATTTTGGACGATTTGGACCATCGGTTTTGTTGTGCTCGTGACATGGATGATCGGAATTTGGTGTGTCCGCTTCAAGAAACGAATAAAGAAGCAAGTCTCAGAGACTCTTGGATTCTTGCGAGTGAATACGGGCGATCGGTTCACGTATGGTGGACGATAAAGTTTGATTTCTTGTTTCTCCTCTAGCTGTTGGTTCATTGAATGAACGAGAAAGCTTAGAATTTCTTTCGCGGAAGTCCGATTCTTTTATCTTTTCCCTTTTCATCCTTCTTCTCTTTTTTGTGTTTTGGGGGGTAATCTCGTTCTTTTCTTTCTCGTTTTATATTTTAATGTGTTAAATTTTGGATGATCGGTCTTGTTGTGCTGATTGGAATCTGGTGTGTCTGCTTCGAGAGACAAATAAACGGGCTCTGGAAAAATCTTGGATTCTTGCGAGCGAATTCGGGTGATCGATTCATCTATGGTGGACAATAAAGTTTAATTTTCTTGTTTGTCCTCTCGCTGTTGGTTCACTGGATAGCGAAATTGTAGTAAAAGTATATCAGATCGTTCCGAGTCATCTTCTTCAGAATATGCCCTATCTGGTATATGTACTACTTGTCTTGATCTCCACTAGTTGTATGTAAAAGTATATCAGATCGCTTACTATCTGGTTCTTTTTTCTTCTATGAATTGTGAGTTTTAAGCGTCTAATAATTTTCTAGGTATGAGATCCCTATTCGAGGTTTAATACAGTCATACATGTTATTCTAAAAGATCTAATAGAATTGAGCTTGTATTTCTTGAGGATTATGTGCATGAATGCTCTCACCTTTGGTATTACAGAGGCTTTGGACTAGTGGATCACATGGTAAAAACAAAGAACTGGTAGAACGCTTGCAGCTGTATGGAATTATCAAGTCAAAGAAAGTGGCAGAAGTAATGGAGGCAATTGACAGGGGGGTTTTCGTACCACCTGGCAGTGCACCTTATGTTGATTCTCCTGTGCCAATAGGTTATAATGCAACTATTTCTGCTCCTCATATGCATGCAGCTTGTCTAGAGCTTTTGGAGGAGCATCTGCAGCCAGGAATGAAAGCTCTGGATGTTGGATCAGGTCCATCTACGTGTGTTTGTCATGATTTTTTCACCCTTATTTTGTTCTCTTTTTTTCCCTGTCACTGTGCGACATTCTTCGTCACTGCATGGAAAAATCATTTGATGCAAATATATGGATAATTGGTTTTAACTTAAATAATTGTCTGACATAATATCACTGTTAGTATTGTATGACGAGCCTGCAACATTGTCAAAACTCAAAAGCATAGCCAATTGTTGTATCCAGAGAATCTGTCTTTACCTATTCTGTCCAATTTTGACTGTATCAGTTAAATTATTGTTGTTTTTTTTGCATGCTTGTTCTTACAATTATTGAAACTATCTTTAGTCAACATACACTTCAGTTGACTATGTTTATGTCTACACTCTGCATTTATGATGCTTGCTGGTTGAAATTATTTTGCATAGAATTCCAGCTCCCACTAGGTTCCTTGGGATTGAGAGCTATTATGCTGGTAAATTTGTTGGTAGCTGTCATTATCCTTCACTCTGTGTTGCTTGATTCCTTAGTTAAAGGATCTAAAAGTGGTGCTTTTCCTCTTTTTTTGTTGATTATGTTGCCATTTTTCCTTTATTTAGGGACTGGCTACTTAACAGCATGCTTTGCGATGATGGTTGGACCGCAAGGTCGTGCTGTAGGGGTTGAACACATTCCTGAACTAGTTGATTTTTCAATCAACAACATCAAGAATAGTGCAGCATCAACACTTTTGAAGGAAGGTTCATTGTCTGTCCACGTTACCGGTATGTTCTACTCGACCCAACCCACTTAATGGTGAAAACTGAACAAGACTTATTTATGGAAGCATTTTTCTTCTAGACCATACCAACATATATATTGGCAAAAACTCCAGCATAAATGATTTGTGTTTCTCGCTTTCTGTGTTTCCGTCTTATATGATTGAAATCAATTAAGTTATCGGTGAGTTTTGGTTGTGAGTCAAATATGCCTACTCATGAATAAACTTCCTGAAGAAGCTGCAGCCGCATATGATGATATTGAAATATTTAAAACATGTATAACTTGAGTATTTTCAGTAGAATTTTCATACAGCTTATATGATGTAATACTGTTTATCTTTGGTGTAAAGAAAAAACAAGAAAACAAAGTGATGAATACCTTTTTTGGCATATCCAGATGTCTAAAGACACAAAATGTGACTGTTTTGCTTGAAAATTAAGGGGACCTTCGTAGAGCAATTTTGTGAAGTAGCTAATTATGAGGCATGAACATGGGACATGGGACACAACACAACATAGATACGATGATATTGAATGTACTTCTATTTACAAAAGTATGAATGACATGTAACGGACATGACAGTTTAGACTTAATTGAACATCATGGTCTCCCTACTAAGTGAATATGTCAATCACATAGATGCACATACTTGATACCCATGCCACCAGAGTATCCAACATGGATGTGGTTCCCAAGCACAAATGGAATTGTCAGCTTAATTATTTAGGTTACAAATCATATATTTTTTCAATAGGTAAGCATTAGATGGAAATTTGAAGTTGTTCAAAAACTTGTTCAAAGATTCCTAGATGATGACGTTCACATGAATATCATGTGTGTGTTAAGGCTTTTAAGATCTATTTATGCAGTCGATTGGAGTGGCTTGTTGATGGTTTTTGGATAATCTACTCCACAAGCTAGGATCGTGTTAGTTGGACAATCAAGATGGAATTGTGCTGTCTTATTTGGGTAGATACCCTTACATATTAACTGAATTAACCATGGAACACCGATGCCAATGGCAGTTTCTTGGATTCTTGTATGCAAAGGCCTGATAAGCAAAATCTAAAATGAAGCTCTATTGAAGAAAAGAAACAGGAATCTCTCTTTTCTTTTCCTTTCCTTTTAAGTTCTTAGTAATAGATTACTTTGTTTCGGGGGAAAGGACCATCAAATGGTGATCATTCAAGGTGGTTGTGCTAATGAAGATTTGTTCAACTTAGCGGAGAAACTTATTCTCCCCTATTAGTGTTTTCAAATTATTTATACCAAAGCAATATTTTTAGTCATGTTTCTTTTTCTAGATCAGAGTGTTGGACTACCAGGAAACAATATGTACAAACAGGAACTTTTGGATCGAAGGAATCCAATTTTTTGGCATTAGACCTTAGGAATCCAATGGTCCCAAATATCATAATATCGTCACTGTTTCATGATGCAAACCTTCAAGGGCCAGAGTAAAAGGAGCATCATTTGTAAGTAAAGACGAATTCACTGAGAATGTGCGACACTGTTGCTCTCTTCTCAAATGTGGTTTATGGTTGTAGATTCTGAACGTTACCATTAGCTTCTTTGCCTCATTGATCAACAGAATCGTAGGAGATAGATCATCCTCATTTATTTTATTATTTAGCAACTCCTAGGAAGCTCATATTCACATAGATCCAAGCTCAAGCAAATATTGGTCGCTCCAGAACTGCAACCACTTCTGTACGAGTATCCTTAACAGTTTTCTCTTATGCAACATAGCTGCACCATGTCACTCTTGTTGCTGATTATCTGTTCCAATCCTTCAATTCTGTTGCCAAATGTTATTACCCATTAACCCTAACACTATATAGAAGCACTTTCTAAGTAGCTTTGGCTACAAGTATATCCAAAATAAGACTTGTTATGTTCTTGAAGGAAAAGACAGTGGTATTCTTTATTATTCTGCAGAACAGTTACTATCCAGTCGTCGTTTTGTTTCATTTATTCCAGAGTAACCAGGTTATTATGATGTGCTTCCTTCATTCCACATGGTTAATCTAATCAAATACACTGTGCTCAGACTTTCTGCTTCATCGACAGTAGCTGTTTCTTTGTTGCACCCAAAGTCAGCCTTTCTCCTCCTGGTACATTAAAACTCCCATCAAACAGGAATGTTCTCTTCATACACACATCTCAAAGGATGGCTATTATTTTTTCAAGGGGCCAATTTTTGTCAAAAATCAATTGAGTGCACTCGATAATGATGCTGTTGATATTTCAACTTTTTTCACAAGTTCAGTAACGTGATTGATAATTTGCAGTTTGCACTGTTAGATTGCCTCTTCAGATTTATCTCCTATCTAAGCATTTCACTGGTTCATCCACTGCCTCCAGATGGAAGACTAGGGTGGCCGGATCTGGCACCCTATGATGTCATTCATGTCGGGGCTGCTGCCCCTGAGATCCCTCAGCCGCTGATCGATCAATTGAAACCTGGTGGCCGAATGGTGATCCCGGTAGGAACCATTTTCCAGGATCTGCAGGTGGTTGACAAGAAGATGGACGGCTCGGTCAGTATCCGAAGTGAAACACCTGTACGCTACGTTCCGCTGACAAGTAAAGCAGCACAACTGCACAACAACTGACTTGTTGGTTGCGAAGTAAATATGATTTTGACGAAAGGATCCTGGTGATGAGCCATTTACATAGCTCATAAAGCCTCGAGTGGGGGACTCGGTCAAAATCAAAAGGAACACATGTTAATGTGAGGTTGATAAATGCGTATAATAATATGTGTATTCCGCAGATTGTGCTTCTCTTATTAGATACTCATGGCACAGCATGAGTTTTGTGATTCTCCTCCGTAGATAGAATTGGCTGCTTGTTCTATGATTAGTAGTCTTATGAAATGGCACTTTGGTATATCCCACTGGGTGCTTTTGCAAGTCAGCAGGAGTTCCTGGAAGAATGCCAACGCTAGCTTACAGGTTTTCTTCAAGCCAACAGCTTCTCAGAGGCGACAGGTAAGTATCCCATCCATTAAGACTTGTGTGAGCTCTTTCTGTCGAGGATAAAACATGTGTGGTTCAACTGGTTCTAAACGCTGTTGAACATTCCATTTGCACTGTGGCACTCACCTGCCACTGATGTGGCACCTGGTTGACTTGGGAAAGATTCCAACGTGGCACTTTTCTGGCCAGTAATATTTTAGAATAAGGACATAAAAGCAAATCATACCAAAAGCTTGAAAAAGTGTCTTTCATTTTCAAGATTCTAAAAATAATTTTTTTTACCTAATACCTAGAAAATATTTTTCTCTTTCTTTCTTTCTCTCTCTCTCTCTATATATATGTATATATGTATATATATATGTATATATAATTCTGTTATATATACAACTGGTTATATATATATATATATATATAAAACAGAATTGAATCTTTTTCTCAAAGTGTTTTAACTCTCTTAATAATTACTATGCACGAAAAATTATAATAAAGTTATAATTTGAAAACCCTGTTAAATAGTATAAAATATTAATTAATAATATAAGATGATTCTAGAGTAGACTAATAAAAACTATGTAATATCACTTATAAAAAAAAAGATAGATAAAAAATGAGGAAATATTAAACTAATATTTTCGGGGACATTTTCGGTATTTCATAGAATCTTTTTCTTTTGGTCAACAAAAATGTGAGCCAAACTTACAGCACAAAAATTCGTTTCGGATATCCATTTCCTAACGCCAACCCGAAACTGGATCTCCCCATTTCCCGGTTATGGCTACTGCAGCAGCCGCTGCCGCTGCCGTTGCCTCTCCTACCGATTCCAATTCCATCATCAATCGCCGCAGAAGAATCCATTCCCGCCGCTGCTCATCCATCCTCCGATCGAACAATATATCATGTCCTCCCCTCACCCTCGCCTTGAAGCTTCCCTCCTCCCCCTTCCTTCTCCTCCTCAACTCCAATCGATGCCGCCGCCGATTCGCTCCTCCTCTCAGGGCAGCCTCTTCCCCCTCCTCCTCCTCTTCCTCTTTTCCTCTTGGAGCTAATCTTGGGCGCCGAATTGGGGTTCCCGATGTAGAGAACAACGGCAACGTGGGGTTTCTTGGTCGACTGCGATCTGGTCTCCTTCTCCTTCGATACGTCTTTCCTGGCGGAAGTTGGTGGAAGCTCGAGCAAGAAGAAGGAATGAAGGTGAACGCTGAAGAACAGGATCGTGGGAAGAAGGGCTTGTCCGTGATCACTGCACTCCGTCGCATGTGGGAGCTCGTTGCTAAAGATAGATTGGTCATCTTCCTGGCCTTTGCTTCCCTTCTCTTTGCAGCGGTACGATGTCTTCAATGATCATTGCGACTTTGTTTAGTTGACTAATTATTATTTTCCTGCTCCATCTTAATGGATGTATTTCGAATCACAACTGCACTTTTGGTATATGCTAGGGAAGTAGGGGAAATAGTGTCCAACTGATCCCAAGAGCGAAATGGACTTACGGGAGCCACAGTCATTATAACTACATGCTGATAACCGAACTAGTAAAAGATAGTATGGGAAACTATTGAAAGCATGAAATAGATTGATATTCTGATACCACAGTTCAACAAACAATTTGAAGCTATGTATCAGGCATATTCATGTTCATTTTACTTAGTCATTGGACTTAATTCCTTTTATTTGGTGCAGCTATCAGAAGTATCAATACCTCATTTCTTGACGGCATCTATTTTTTCTGCCCAAACTCATGAAAGCATGATGTTCTACAGAAATGCGAGGCTGCTCGTTCTGCTGTGTTTCATATCTGGCATTTGCAGGTTGATGTCTTGTATGGTTTCCATCCTATATGTTTTGTCTAACATTTGATACTATTTTGTTAGTGTATATCCTAAAAGAAACTTTAAACTCAAGTAACTTTACGTCAAGCTCCAACACTATAAAATATTATCTGCTGACTGCATTGATGTTATAACTTATAAGTAGCTATTTAGCCATCCTATCGAATTAAACTGATCATATAAGCATTCTTCCACAACCCAAGTTGATCTATCATATGGTTTCTGTCCTAACTATTTTGCCTAATATTTGATACTTATTTCATAAGTGTATAACCTAAAAACATTTTTAGACTTTACATCAAGTTCATGATGCTATGAAAATATTATTGGCTGACTGCATTGATGTTATAAATAGCTTTTTAGCCATCTTATTGAGATAATATTGATCACATGAGCATTCTTCCACAGTTGTTGTTCAACAAGATAGGTGGATGATTTTCTCGTATGCATTCTACAATAATCTGTTTTCAAAATATACCTCTTCTGAATGCTGTATCTGGTATTTCTTGTGGATTTACAGTGCTATTTAACACTTTACTCTCTACACAAATTTCTGATGTCCAGTTTTTCCGCTCCAATGTGCTACTTTAAGTATTAGCACTTCAGATATCAACTTCAATGAACAAAGTCTGTCCTTTCGAACACAAACCATGGGCTCATGTTTGCTGCTCAATGTCTCAGATGGACATGGAAAGCTTTTCCAATGTAGATCTTGAAATTATTTTTTGGGATAAATAGTTTTCTTTATATACACTCTCGAGATTATACAGCTTAAACCAGGGTTTTGAATACTGGTCCGTATCGGCGTACTGAGTTGTGCTCGGTACGATACGTACCGGTATATACCGATGGTGCACCCTAAAATCTTAAAAATACCTTCACCCAAGGTATGCAATACCATATCGTACCAATGTTTCGAGGTTGGCTCGGTACGGTACGGTACCGGTGTATCGAGCGGTACACCCTGGTATACCGAACAATTTTATATATTTTCTTTATTACTGTAGCAATTTAGTACTGCTACAGCATAGTATTATATCACTGTAGCACTACTACAGTATAATACTGTAGCACTGTAGCGGTACCGGGCGGTCCACGTATCGGTATGTCGTTGGACTAGTACGTACCGCCCGTATCGGGCGGTACCATTCGGTACTGCATACCATGCCTTCACCTACCATGCTAGGACGTACCGATCGGTATACCTTAGTAACGGTCGAAATCTGAGGCAAAACACTGGTACTACCCGGTAGAGGACGATTCGTGTACCGATATCCTCTCGGACCGGTACATAACGCCCGTACCGGACAATACACATTGAAATTGAGAACCCTGGCTTAAACAGTCCATGAACATTACCTCACATTTCTTTTGTTCTTGTGTTTTCATCATATGCCTCCATTTGCAACCACATAGGGTAGGGCATATACTCAGGTTATCAATTACTAAATTTCACTGATTTCTTGTAGCATACATGAAATGATACTCTTTGTGTTGGTGCTGAATATTATCTTGCTGGGAGCTTCCGTTCTTTCATCTTGGTGATGCCTAGCACCACAGTTACATGGTTACATGGAACTGGTATATCTATAAGATCATATTCCGGTTTAAATATGTGAAAGAAGATAACTAGGAAACTGATGCTGCAATGAGATGATTCTTCTGTGGGTTTGGGACCCTAAGTAGAATTTTCTTGCTAATTACTAAGCAGCACCTTGTAAGTTGTTGTATCAGTTGTATTTCTTGTCAGGCTATGATCTGATGGTTCTTAGTATTATTCTTTATTTTTTTTACTTTTTCTTAGTGACCATAGCATGACCTGCACCAAGTTGAAGTTCAAATTTACCTTGTTTGTGTTGCTTGTATAATTATAAGTCCTTCAAATTCTTCAAGCACGTTAATTTATCACAATCACCTATCTGCTGTTGATTGTTATACATCAGCTATTTTCAATATAACACAACCTTTTAGCTAAGAAAATTATCTATTTAGGTACTCATGTGTCCTTGTTTGCTCATTTTCTAGTTTGCTCAAATGCTGATTAAAAAGATGACTCTGTTCTCTTAGTCTTTTTTGAGAATGCTTAACATAAATTTATAATATCTTCATATAAATTCTAAAATCTACCTGGTCCACTGTGAACCATTTGATAACATTATTTACATTAGTCTCATGTGGTAGTTAACATGTGCTTATAAAGTTTTCAACCGCTAGCTGCTTATTGGAACTACATATATTTATGATGAATAGTTAGACGCAAATGACATAGCTTCTTACTTTATCTGTATTGGGGTTTGAATAGGGCATTAGCAATCTTCCTTCTTGTGGCTTCTACAAGCAATCCTGCAAATGAGATTTTCTCTAATTTGAGGATGATAAAGGTCCTTACAAAAACACAACAAGAGAAGAAAGAGAAATTGCTACTAAACTATTACTAAATTAATAAAAAAACACTAATATCACCTAGCATGGCCACTTGGGCTTCTTTGAATTATGGGAATTGTGTGAAAGGTAATCTCATCACCCTGACAATCCTATCAGAAGAGGTTTCTAGAATTCTCACAGGATGAATTGTAATAGTAAAAAAGCATAGTTCATCTATACTAGACCCATATCGGGGCACTTAAGACACCAACAAACCTAATAAAGATCTCTATAGACTCCTTAAGAGAAACTATTATAAATACCTGTGAAAAATAGTCCAAATATTGCGGAAAAGTATATAATTTTATTAACTTCCTATCCTAGTTAGGAGGGGAATTTCTTTTTTGATAGATCTTTTTCTCACCAAATCATGGATTTTTTAGGATTGTTGTAGAGAACCTTTATTTCTAAAAAACCTGCTAAAGATGTCCATTCTAATTTAGGAAACATGCTAGCCTGTACTTCTACTTTAATTAGAAATACCTTCTGGACCAGAAGATGAGCTTGTATGTGTTCCAAAATTAACTCTCCGGTGTCAAAAACCAAATAAGAGTCTATTGTAATGTATGGCTTTATCTTACCTTGTTATGGCTTTGAAGCAGTCAGTCCAGCCCTTAGTAGGGCTGATCAAAGCAGAGCTGTTGTTGTTGGTGGTATGGGGTTTGACTGTTTTCTAAGATATGGGTTTGGTCTGGAAGATTTAATTCCTTAATATAACATACATACAAAAGGCCCTTCCATCATTAATCTGTTAGATGTTTGACTTGTATTGATGAATACAAAACCATCATAGATACAAAATTAAAAATATTGCTTTGCATATTGATACTTAGTTTTTCACATAAGATTCATATACATTGATGCTGAATTTTATTTAACAATGTTAATATGATGTAATATTTGGTAAAGAATGAGTACAGCACAATTCTGACAATTTGAATGTTGATGTTATGTACAGTGGTTTACGAGGTTGCTGTTTTGGCATTGCAAACATGATGTTGGTAAAATCTAATGGATTTGTGATTGGCCTTATTTCAAGAAAAATAAGCTCTTTCTTAACTCTTTATTCGCATATATTAGATAAGTCTGTGTAGTAGAAAATCTCATATAAGCTGTTTTTTGCAATATTTCCTAGGTTAGGCGTATGAGAGAAATGCTTTATGATTCTCTGCTTTTCCAGGTCAAATCTTCATCGATAAATTTAATTTGAAATTGTCCACTAATGCAAGAGACATCCTTTGTGAATTTTTTCTTTGACATCATTTCTCACCCTGAATCCAGTTTTGTACCATGTTGCTTTCAGGATGTGTCCTTCTTGGACAATGAAACGGTTGGTGATTTAACTAGCAGACTTGGTTCGGACTGTCAGCAAGTATCTCGTGTCATTGGGAATGATCTTAATCTAATATCACGGAATCTACTTCAGGTATTTTTTGGTTTTTTACACTTTTAATAATATATAACCATCTGGGATGTCATTCACTCCGGTCATCTTTTTACAGGCGACAGGTGCACTGATATATTTGTTTATCTTATCCTGGCGTCTTACGTTGTCTACATTGCTGATATGTACTGCCTTGTTAACAATTGTGCTCTTCTATGGCCGGTACAGCTATTTCTATCTAGTTAGTTTACATGCCTCTGAATGTCATGTTCCACCCTTGCAAATTTCTAGTCTTTTAGTTTCAACTTTCAAATAGTATACAGTGTAAATGGTGCATGTTTCTTTGAGTCTTTGACTATGTAATAATTACTGAAAAATTAGACTTCTCTTTAGTACACCTATGTTTCTGCCCAATAATGTGGAAGTGACTAAAGTGGATGAATTATGTTGAGAAGACTCCATGGGAATTTGTTTTTATGACCGGATATCATCCTGTTTTCAATACTTCAGAGCTAGCACGGAACTTCCAAGTTGAGTCTAGGAAAGTGACAGATAAGATAGGTTTAAGCAACCCTAAATGTTGATTCGACGATAGAAGCACCACATAGAACTACACTTAGTATCAGTATAAAAGAGGAGGATAGGGCAAGATTTGATGGAAGTACGACATTGAACTATGCTTAGAATCAGTATAGAAGAGGATAGGGCAAGATTTGATAGAAGTACCACATAGAACTTCACATTTGAATGTTTGCTCTATCGAATGTGCATCTCAATTTTGCATGAGCTAGTGAGTACACCCCTTGCTATAATGGTTATAACTAGTTAGTACTGTATCAAGGCATCATAGATAGATAGATAGATAGATCGATAGAGAGAGAGAGAGAGAGAGAGAGAGAGAGAGAGAGAGAGTCCACATGTTTCTTACCAAATCCAAGCAAAGGATGCTTTTTGTCTTTTTGTGGCTCTCGTCGTATGTTGCTCTTGCCTATTGTTACTGTTGTTGATTGCTTTTCTTAATGAAGAGGAGAGTTTTGGGAAAGCAGTTACTGTTTTAGTAAGAGAGAGAGAGTCCACATGTTTCTTACCAAATCCAAGCAAAGGATGCTTTTTGTCTTTTTGTGGCTCTCGTCGTATGTTGCTCTTGCCTATTGTTACTGTTGTTGATTGCTTTTCTTAATGAAGAGGAGAGTTTTGGGAAAGCAGTTACTGTTTTAGTATCTATTTAATGGATCTCTATATATGATGTTGAATGAAGAGAGCTTTGATGCATAACTTGATGGAATAAAGTCAGTGATCTATTATTTGAAAGAGATGTGAATATTGAATGGGGAGGTCAAGATGATCTATTATTACCAGTTAAATTAGTTGATAGAAGTTCATATTTGTTCTAGTCTCATTTTTATATGATGCTTTTTTCATTTAAAAATCTTATTCATTTCTTGGATCATATAATGCTTGTACGAATTTAAAGCTGATTCTGATACTCAAGACACTTTAAAAAACCATTTGTTGATAGTAGATGAACTCGGTTACTAGTTGAAATGTACTCACACCTTCTAAGTAGAAATCCTTTCATCCCACTTTTTCATACAATGTCTCAATCTTGTAGCTCCTGCCCTTATGAACAATATTAAATCTTGTGGTGACTTGACATGATCCTGATGATATAGGTACCAGAAGAAAGCAGCAAAGTTAACTCAGGAGCTCACTGCAAGTGCTAATGAAGTAAGATAACTTCAATTTTTAATATGTGAATCTTCTTCTTGAATCTTGTTCATTTTTCAATCTAGGTTGCACAAGAGGCATTATCTCTGTTCAGGACAGTCCGTGTTTATGGAACAGAGAAACAAGAATTTGGAAGGTAATAACTCCTTTTTCTCTTTGTTTACAAGGACACATCATTTGATTGATATGCATGTATACATCATTTGACAAAACCATCCCATGTCGATCCATGTCACTTACTCGATATCTTGCAGCCATAATTCTTAAATTTAAAGCTCTTTTGGGACAGGTATGTGAACTGGCTTGAAAGATTGTCCGAAGTAAGCTTGCGACAGAGTGTGGCTTATGGATATTGTAGTTTAAGCTTCAATTTTCTCTATCATTCAACACAGGTCCATTCTTTACATTTTATATACTCAAAATCTATTTTTGGTTGATAAATCTTATGTCCTTAACTATAGAATAAGTTGGTATTAAACTGTATAATTCAGACAGTTTATTATGGTCATGGTGTTATATTTGTTGGGCACATTTTGTATTATTCATTGCATAAGTTTCAACAAAGTGTATACATGTCTTTTTAATCGTGCTAAGTTATTGTATTAATCAAATACTATCTGAGTCTGGCCAGAACCTGACACGACTCCTCAATGGATCACCAACGTTATCTAGGTTTGACTTTGTAGTAGAAGGTAGAGCCAAGAAATGGTGGACACTCAGAGAGAAGGCTTTGCATGTGTTTGTGGGTTTAAACTTTAAAAGATGATAAAAAAATCAAGCAGAGGGAGTGATCCTATTGGAACATGGCCTTTCGGGAACTGATCCTCCTAATTTGGAGTTCCTATTTGAGGAAGAACAAAACCTCCTAAGGAATTGATCTCATAAAATCTAGAATATTTATTTCTTGGAATATACTTAAAAATAGTAGAAAATATTAAAAGTAGTCGAGCATGGCATTAGGACTCACAGACTCTTATTTACAAGCATCCTAAACATAATAGACCTTATTTTACTATAAGACCCTATTGTTTTCATGCTTTTCTAGCCTTACAAACTCCCTTATTGGCTTTAACTGTTCTAATTTACCCAACAAATTGTGTAGATGTTAAGTTCCAACTGTTTCTTACTGTTATGGGGCTCCTTTCCATGATCCAATAGGGTTGGGCTGGTTGGTCACCCCTTGTTGAGTGTCTAAGGATGCAGAGTAGTTACTGGTTTGGGAATATCATGGCTGGGTTTGTGTGAACTGGGTGGACAGATGAGAAGCTTAAACATGACTTATCTTGGAACACAGTGAGAAAGCAGCATATTCCGAGTGTGTTAATGCCTGAAGATCATGATGGATTTCAAGGTGGAGACAATGTGGGATGATGTCGGACAGCTCATACATGTGTGAGACATAGTTACAGTACAGGATGATGATGTGAGAGCATAGGTGTTGACAAGGAAGGTGCTGCTCCATAAAAGATGGCTATGTTGGAGCCAATCTTGGCTAGATGAAGATGATGCTACAAGAATATACGTTTTCTGTCAAAGATATTTAAAACTTCTGGGGATAGCAAAGAATGTTGAAGGTGGTGCAAGAAAATCAGGAAACTAAATTCATAGATGAGGAAGCTTTTGAAGAGGTCAGACAGGCCTTGTTTTCAAAAAGACCTAACTGATCTGCTGCATGCATGTGCTGGTCCCCTTGTTATCACTGTCACTCTCACTTCCTGTAATTGCTTTCATCCAGTTGTGGCATGTCACTCCCTTGTTACTGCAATGTGAATAGATATTCTCCGGCCTGCTACTCATGTTTTTTCCAATCTCAACATGGAATTTTATGAGAAAATTCTTTCAAGGATCATTCTTTAGGAGTAAATTTTCATAATCTACTTATCGAAGCCATTTGAGGGAGTGAAATAGCCTTAGATTTGAGGGTAGGATGGTTTTAAAGGTGCAAAAAGAAATGAATTCCTGAGAAAAGTGAGAAAGACAAGGCCTTGAATGAAGGCAAAAACACCGCCTTGGTTATTTACTCGGAAAAAAGCCCTCTTATGCTACTATAGTCAAATTTAAGGTTTTAAATATTGGTAAAATACCAGTTTCGGCAAAACGATTGGACCTGGACCTGTATTGTACTTGTACACTTGGTGGTATACTGACCTCTACCATCCAATATCATTAAAAATAAAAAATTACGTACTAACCGCACCAACCTAAATGGTCCAGTATCAGTCTTTGGTCAGACTGTAACAGTCATGGGGTATGAATCCAACTAGTTCATTTGCTCATATGATTAAATGAGCAATTAGTTCTTTATTGCCACATTCCTGATTTAAATGGAGATGCAACAAGTCTGATTCCTTTGCCTGGTATGTTGCTGCCACAGATACAATGTGCCAACAATTACATCTTTGTAACTGAACAGTTATTTTGGTACATGGCAAGGAGCTTAACAAGGATGCCTTGATGCTTGCCATGCAAAGATTCATCAAAAAGGATTGAGCTTGTAAAGTAACTAAGAATAGAAGGTGACAGCTTGTATTGTATTTGCAATTTAAGCAACAGTCCTATACATCAAGAAAAGCAGCCGTCTGAAGGATGACACATTTTAGTATTTTACTGCTTTGTTATTATTATTTAACAGTTTTTAGAGGGCATATTATTATTGTTCACTGTTCTTAGATTGCATATTCTTATAAGGTTTCTATAAGATTGCATAATTTGTTTCTAGTTTGTTGGAATCAATCTTTTATGAAAAGAATGGGGTAATTGTCTCATCAATTTATAACAAATAGAGGGAAACAGAAGAGCTAATTCTTCACAATTTGTCTCAGGTAGAGAAGAGAGGACATTACCATAGGTTGAAAGGAAAATAACAGCTAAAGAAAATTCAATAAGAGACCATTAATATTAACAAACAACCACAAAACGGACCACATAAACCAAAATCAAGTCAGCTAGCATTACATAATCCATAACAAATGAAACTTAAGTTCCTCGTACATTATTTAAGAATGGCACGATTTAATTCATAAGTTTTAGTGCACATAAATAAGCAGAAATTTACTTTGTTTCCCACCCATCATCCAATTTTACAAGCAAATAATAGCATCTTGCATAAACTATATTTTTTTCTTCTCCTTGTCATCAATAGACCTGTAATTTTCTATTTCAAATGCTTAGCCAGAGCGCCATAACTAAAGAAAACTAGCTAAATCTCAATTCTTTATCGACATTAAGATAGGACCAATTCGTCCATGATGTAGAAATATAGTTAGAGAAATTTGATAGCATCTACCACTGCACAAAGCATTCCGCAATTGTGAAGTGAAGAAGAATATCATCAGCAGGTGATCAGCATCTTCCAAGTTGTTCTGGCAAAATCTACATCCGCTGGAAGAAGTCCAGCCTTTCCTGTTGTGAATGTTCTTAATGTGAATAGTTTATTTTCACTATTTGAATGGATATGTATGTACCTTTGTATATATGATTTAGTTTTAACACATGCAAATTAATTGTGTACGCTCTGCATTTTTGGAAAGGAAAACAATCAATTGATTGTTACTTGACAGTTGAATTTGATTAATCTTTTGCACTATTTAGTTTTATCTGACAATTAATATTTATAGGTTATTGCAGTTCTGGTAGGAGGAATATCTATTCTTTCTGGTCAGATGACAGCAGAGCAACTAACCAAGTTTATCCTATACTCTGAATGGATGATTTATTCAACTTGGTGGGTGGGAGACAACTGGTCTTCACTAATGCAGTCCATCGGAGCAAGTGAAAAAGTTTTTGAGCTGATGGATTTGTTGCCAAGCAACCAGTTCCTATCTGAAGGCAAGCACTATATATTGCTCTCACACTGTGGTGGCCTTCTGTTTTTTACTAATGTCATGATTTTGAGCTTTCCTTGGAAACTAGTATCTCAGAAAATCTAGGTATTTTCTATCTCATTATGGTTCTTCAATAAGCATCCATGTTGGAATCTGCATTTCTCCCTTTAAATAATAATCATGTGTTGTTATTCTGGACATAGAGGTAACCAAAGTTACCAAACATCCAACATAAATCATTTTTCCAATGCCATGAAAAATAATGTTCTTGCCATTACTAATGTTGGATTAACAGAGACATTTTATGAAGATTAATATTCTTGTTGTATAATTATTATGAAAGTGCTGCAAATTAATACACTTGCTGTATAATTATTATCACAACTTCAAAGGCACCAATGTAATGTTGAATCCAATATATTTTGAAATGCCTTGTCAAATACCATAATCTGTACAAAATATTGGAGTTCTAAAGTACACGATCAAATGTAGGACATTGAAGATTGATTTTGTGAACTCAGCTTGTCAAATTCCAATTGTCCAAGGCAAAATTTTAAATGACAATTTCTTTAAAATGTTGACATCTATTAGCTTATCTTCCTTATTGTTCATTTTTAATTCCTGGGTTTCCAGTGTGGCGGCAATGATCATTAGAATATGTATGCTTATACAAAAATTTCATCATGTCGCTAGAGATTGACATAGTTTTGAATAGGAATAGAAAAAAAATATCTTCTGACACCCAGAAATTTGTAACAGTGTTTCTCATCTAGACCAAAATATCAGAAAAGGTGATGGTAAATCTTCTTTAGTTGAAATGTAGCTAAAAAAAATGTCTGTTCCAATTAAGTTAATCACAATGGAGATTTTTTTTCCCAGGCAATGGAGTACAACTGCCATCTTCTAAAGATTTTTTCATAAACAATTATAAATCTGATCATTTCACAAGTAATGTTGTTATAGTGGAAAATTTCATTTATTTTTATATTTTTATTTGGTTTCTATATTCAGTTTTCACTTGTTCAATCTTACTGCTTTGTTGTTTTTTTTTTACTTATTCAATTAATCACATATTTTCCAATTTTTCTGAACAACTGTGGTATGACAGGACTGAAATTGCAAAAGCTTGTGGGACATATTGATTTTGTGGATGTATCATTTAGTTATCCTTCGAGATCAATGGTATGCCTAAAGATTATTGTCTGAGTTTTTCAGAAACTATTAATATAGCAACAACACATGCATATCCAAGTACTTGTCTCTCTGTTTGCTCATCTTTCAGATGGATATAATCTGTCATGGAACTTTTATGAATGTAACAGAGAAAAAAAGTTCTGACAGGTTTTAATTTCCAAATATTTTCACCTCATCATATTTTAATAATAAGGAAATTTTTCATGCTCACAAGTCACAAGTCACAACATATTCAGGGAAATTCAATTGTCACTTCAGTGGTGATTCCTAGAATTGCCAATTATTTTTACCAAGCTGGTCCATTTACAGTTCAAGAGTAAAATTACTCCAATGACCAAGAAGATCTTATAAAGTAATTAAGTAGAAAAAAGTACCAGTTACAAGTCTTACAAAGTGCTATGAGAAAGCATGGCCTAACAACTCAGTTGTTCCAAAAAAAATTATTTACATGGTGGATCAATGACCTATTGTTTGTGACTGAGGTGTCTTTTAGAGTGGATCAGCTACAGTTGCAGCACAAAAGCACTTGACTGCAAATATAACAGGATAGCCTGTTCATTTATGATTGGTAGTACTAGAAATTATAATTTCACCAGGTTTGACCTTATTAGTTGTGAATTGTCAGTGGATACAAGATTATCCATTCTTCAATAAATAGGAGCAAACATTGCAGTACTAATACAACTTGAGGAAAAGAAAATAGACTAGATTCTATCAGTATCTACTCAAGATCCACAGTGGAGATGACATTTAATATAAAAATTGGAGTTGTTAAGTGATTGTTTGATCACACCTAACATCATTATGGTTTTCGTAATGGTTATCTACTCGTAGAGGACCCAGCTCTGTTTGGGCACATATCTCGAGGAAGTAAATACAAGACACCACCATTGTAGAAACAGTGTTGCCACTGTATTATGTTTTCTACATGCACATAATATTTAATTCAACCTTTTCTTTAATAAACAGGGAGTAAATATTTAGATGGAAATGTTTATGTACTTATTATTACATTTTATATTTAAACAGGTACCAGTGCTGAAACAAGTAAATCTGTCAGTACACCCTAATGAAGTAGTTGCAATTGTAAGTATACTTAATTTATTATGAAACTTGACTTATATGTACTCTTGTGTCAATATTGGTGCGAGAATTCTTTGTTGACACACAAATATAAGCTGCAGCATGGCTTATATGCTATTGTTGGTGTCGCCTTTTCTTCTCCTTTACAGGTTGGTCTTAGTGGAAGTGGTAAAAGCACCCTTCTTAATCTTCTTCTTCGTTTATTTGAACCAACCAACGGCCAGGTAAAAATCAACTCTTACAGCAGACTCGTAATTTGTTCCTTCAACTGTATGTATTACTAGGCATGTAACGATAACGATGTGGTTCAACTAATTAGTATATCTTAAGATTTTAAATCTTAATTTAGTACTAGTTTTGGTTAACATATTGGAATAGTATGATCTTGGTGTAGCGGATAGTAGAATGACTTGTACTGTCCAATGCTATTGAATAAAATAATAGAAAAGATAAATGATATAATAATGATATGTCGTTGGACCAGTAAGGACCTATCATTATTTGTTAGTTCGATCGGTATTTAAAACCTTAATGTCACAATGTGAATTTTTATCAGTAAAAGTTTGTAAAGACACTACCTTGGTTATATTTAAGAAACCGACAAGATTGGCCGGTCAGACTAGAAAATTCAGGAACCAGACCTTTGACTGGTTCAATTAACTAATTAGATCATTTGAATATTAAAAAGACTGATATTATCTCAATTGTTATTTATTGTCTATTTTTTTTCATAGAAATTTAAGTCTTTTCATATAAAAGAAAAGAGAAGAAAATGTTATTATATTCATTACTCTTCCCTTAAATTTTTATGAAAAAAATGGACAATAAATAACAATTGAGATAATTTCAGTCTTTTTAAGATTCAAATGGTCTAATTAGTCCTGTTTGAGTAATTAATATGTAGACGCTCTCTTATCATCACTCTACCATCTTAAATTTTTAATATGTCTGCTCTCTTGTCATCACTATTATTCTCTTATTTATTTATGCATTAAGAATATCATATAGTGTTATCTATATATATTTTAACATAATATTCAATTATATCTTTGTTTTTAAAAAATATTAAACCTATGTTCTGGACAAGTTGACCCACTAGTTCAACTAATAAATCATTGACTCGAGATTTAACTGGACCAATGTTTGGTCTGGCAGAAGATAGTGATATTCTATACTGTTTTAAAATTATCTCTATATTTGGCTTCCATAACTAGCTATTGCTTCCATATAATGGTGTCCTATTTTGGATCAATATTAATTGAGATAGGACTCCAATTCATTTTTCAACTTCTAGTGGGTTGCAGTCATCCCACTAGAAAAGAATTTCTTCACCTCCTAGCTGCCACAGGGGTCCCAATTGAGACTGGAATTTTAACTTGTAATCCTTCTATCGGCAGCTAGATTTTGAGCCCCCATGGTAATTATTATAAACTTTATCCTCTTCCAATTAAGTTAAAAAGAAAAACACATGACAAGGTAGCAAAAGCTTGTTCAGTCCTCATGCAATGCAAGCTGCACCGTGCAGACACTGACAAGGCAGCATGTGACAAGGATTGCAAATTCATAATAATTCAACCACAAGCTGACATGTGCACTGCTTCTTCTCTCTTGCCTCTTCATTTCCATTTTATTCTCTTTTCCAAATCCAACACATGGTGTGACCCCACAATGTTGGATGATAGGATTTCATGATGGAATCTGCCAAAATCAACCAAATATTTGAAGATCGTTCTCAATATTGCTTGATAAATTATATTATTATGTCAAATTGTCAATAAGGTCATTATTGCCTCTTGAGCAAACTTGCTTACTATGTATCGAGCGGAAATGTGTTTTTCACTGCAGATATTAGTTGATGGCGTCCCTCTTAGTGATCTGGATATCAAATGGCTGCGGCAAAATATTGGATATGTGGGACAAGTAATGTGGTTCTGAAACTTTACACTTTTGTAGGCATCACAATATAGTGGCATGTGAGAAGTATATATGTTTGCTTTTTGTTTGTATGGAACTGGCAGGAACCACGACTTTTCCGTATGGATATTAGTTCAAACATAAGGTATGGATGCCCAAGGGAAGTCGGTCGTGAAGACGTGGAATGGGCTGCTAAACAAGCATATGCTCACGAATTTATATCAGCTCTTCCCAATGGCTATGGCACACTCGTCGATGACACTCTTCTTAGTGGAGGACAAAAGCAGCGGATTGCTATTGCCAGGGCTATTCTCAGAGATCCAACTATTTTGATTCTTGATGAAGCCACTAGCGCTCTCGATGCAGAAAGTGAATATTATGTAAAGGTATTTTCTACCAGATACAAAATGTACTTGACGGACATTAAAAAGTTGAGATTTTTATACTGAATGCTTTGTTCTATTCTTGGTTTGGTACAGGAGGTACTTCGTACAATGCAGAACAGTTCCAGTAAAAAGAGAACCATTTTTGTAATAGCACATAGGTAAATCCGGAGATTTCAAATTGCAATACTGTGTTATCGTTCTCATCTTACCATCAATTTTTACAGGCTATCTACGATACAAGCTGCTGACAGAATAATAGTAATGGATGGTGGCAGAATTGTGGAGGTATTTCCTCTGTTCTTCAGCATAATTTTTACGTAAATTGTCCCATGATAGATATATAGTTATATTGTTGTTTTCGATGCTAAAAAATACTTAGCATCAGTAATTTTCAAACTGCAAAAAGAGCATCTTGTTTATCAAGGTTTAGATGGCCATCTTTGCATCATCTCATCAGCCGAAGACCCACCTCTGCTGGTCATGCCTATCAGACAATAAACGATTCTGCTCTATGAAATAAAGATCCCCTTTCTCCATCTGTGTTTCCAACATGAAAATTATTTATCTTTGTGCATCTATACAGATGGGAAAACATATGGAGCTCATTCAAAGGGATGGCTTGTATGCACGGTTGGTTAGGAGACAGGCTGATGCTTTCGCATATTGATACGACTTCCAGTATGTTTGCAGACTGATTGGCTTACTCCATGGTTTTATTTGAGTGGAACAGCCAAAGTGATCTATGATACAAAATTGCCCAAAAACTATTCATACCACAAACAATAGTGATTCTTTTTTACAATGTCAGTGAAACATCAATGTTATTATTCAAGAAAAGTGTTTTTTTTTTTCTTTTGACTTTCTTGTAACAAGAAATGTTCTCTCCGAAAACAAAGAAAGAAAGAAAGAAAACGAGATGGCAAGGAATTTCATCTTGGTGGCATGATCTTTATTTTCATCTTTCGATTTACGAAGATTGTTGCATTCACTTGTTATGACATTAATAAGATGCTTTTGTGTTACATTTGTTTGGTAAATTTACAGAAAAATGTCTTCACTAATTTGTTTTTACAGGAAAATAACGGTCCTCTAAAGGAAGACCCTCAAACACTAAAAATGGCTAAAATAACTCTAAATTTGAGTTAGATTAAAATAGATATCTTGTTATCTTTTAATTACTAGTTTTCTTTTCTCTCTCTCTTTTCGTTGTTTTATTATTACAAAAAAGCTTCCTTTATTAGTCAGTCATCTTCTAATCTTATAGTTTATCATTAAAAAAAATTATTTTCAAGTTAAAAATGGAACGTTATCTTCTTTAAAGAAGGATCCAAGAAATGATTTATTTGATTTGATAAATTATATTTCTTATGTGTGGGCATAAGACATTGTAATGAATCATCAGAAAATAATTTTTTTTTTATATACACATATTGTTCCCGTGGTGTGTTTTTTGCTTTCGATGGCACAACGTTCCCTGCAATGTTGCAAAAACACCCCCTTATCTTTTTGTTTTTTATACATTACTTTAAAAGAAAGGTTCCCTGCAATGTCGCAGAAATTACGCTTTTTTAATTCTTCCACATATATTTATACATATACCACACACACCACATGATGTAATTCTTCCACATTTTATACATATACACACACATCTGATGAAATCTTCAAGTCATGATGACTCGACCAAATCTGATCTTATATTTAATCAAGAAAATAAATTAAGAAAAAAAAAAGGCCTCGATCACTACAGTACTACTCATTGTTATACACAAGCTTCCCTGCAATGTTGCATGGCCAGGTGTTATTGGGTAAGAGTAGGAGAGGGGAGTGGAGTTCATCCATGGAGAACTATTCTGGGATCCAGTTGCCCACTGCAGTAGCTTGATGAGACAACACTAAGCTCCTGGCATCCTCTCCACTCCTCGAGAGGCTTCAGAACCACAGGGGTTTCCGCAACAGCCGAATTGATGCACAGCATGGCTTTGTAATCCTCATCGCCAAAATCTGGCAAAGCCTTGGCTTTCTTATTCCAGGGGTTCCATACTCCTGCATCAGATAGAGGAACCATCAAGTAAAGATTGATCCTACAGGAAACACCAACCTTGACCTCTTGTCAACCGAAAAAAATGGTGAAGAGCCAAGCCACCAGCTTACCAGCATCAGGTAGGCACTCTTTTCTCAGCACCAAAGTTCGTTTCTTCTCGTGATCTATGATGGCAATCTTGGCTGGGGTCCTTAGGTACACCCTGTCCACCTGCCAGATGGAACACAATTATTCAATATTATAGACATGTTATGTATGATCTTCTATAACTGAGAAGAATGATCACGAGCAACATGATTTATCATGTGGTAATATTCCATGAAATGATGAATTAATCTAGGAAGTGATAGAGCTGGAATGAAGAAGAGCCCAGATGAGAACTCGAAGTTTGGAGATAAGCAGGTGGCGGGATGGCCATTATCATCCAGAGGAAAAACACTCATCAGTTTAGAAATATTTACAGATCAATATGAAATATGGTGGTTTGGCACTCTTACTAGCTAGAATAAACATGTTGAGGAAACCTCATCGATTGTTCAGAAAACTTAGTGGGTTCAAACTTAAGATAAACTCAGGTTTGGTGCCATATCCCTCACAAAGAATCATGCCAAGAAAAACTACCACTAATTCTAGAATACCACCTACCACGCTGCTGAACTTGTCAAGGATGATGCATGAGTTCTTAAGACAGAAGGTCTGACAACCTTAAGCACTTAACTGCTACTTAAATGAACAAGGATCACATCAAGACAAATCATGTCACCTGTTCGTCATTGCCCTGTTTGATTAGTAAAGATTAATGGTAAGATACCACTAATTAACTGTCACTGGATTTTTCCATCAATTAAGGGAAATTATCTATACACTGCTAACAACATTTAAGTAATAGTATGTGGATTATGCTTCTTAACTTAAACGCTGTCATGTTGAATGTTGTTTGTGTATAAAATATCAGTATCTAAAAGGCCCCATTGTACAGATTAATGCGAAATCAAACATGTGTATCACATTGTGCATAAATGCAAACGACTTGAGGAGACACCCAGGGGTACCTCTCCATCAAACGTAAGTGCATCGCCCTGCTCCGTAAACCTCTCTCCATTTTCAAGATTATCAAAATAGTCAAGCGTTTCCAATCCCTCGACACGAATTTCACTGTAAACAAAAAAATCATTTAAGAATAAAAATGAAAAAGAAGATATTTGTGCCACAAAATGATCATACTGATAAGTAAATGGTAAGGGTGGGAAAAGAAAAAAAACGCTAACAATGATATGATGAAGCTGTCGAATTTATGAAGCCACCAAATTTTAAGAAAGAAGAAACTGTAAGTGTATGCATACCTGACATCTGACATAGACAGGTAATTTTGGATTGCAAAAGTGAATGAGAAGTCCTTGCTACCAGTATTTCTCACACGAGGAATCAAAGTCAGCTTACTAGGATGCAGAATAACACGAAGTCGCAATTCAAAGCTGCATAAACAGCAAACAAAAGGTAACCATTTGTAAGTTAGGATGGTCATCTGCTTATCAGAGATCATATGGATAAATCCACTTCTCAAATAGTACCTATGCGGCCATGTCTTCAGATCCTCATCTGTGGACTTCAAAATCAGGTCCACCGAAGAATGATTGTTAGATCGTGGCAGCGGGGATGGGCATGTGTCCAATTCCCATAATCTGTTTCCAGCAAATCCATGCCGCTCCGGATAACCTAAATTGTCAAACTGTGGCTTGGGATCAATTAAATGTCCCCTACAGAGAGAACAAAAACATAAAATATAAATCAAGCAAAAAACCTACCTGCGGGAAGCAGATTGGTATTCCTCCTCTGATTGGCTTAGGTGACTTTGTGCTCGCCTAAAAGACAGAGAAACAACATCAAGTTCAAATCTTGGAGCATGTTAAGCCCACAGATCAAAGTTCAAGCATTTTTAGGTTTAGACAATGACAGATGTTAAGGTTAAGAAACAAAATCTAAAGGTACTTGGCGATCGTCTACTGTGTTCTTGAGCTAAAAAAGGAAGTAAGGCAGTAGAATAAATCTCAAAGGCCCTGTTTGGACCAATAAAGAAGGGAAGTCTTTGCCTTAAGGTAAATAATAGACCTCCGTGATCAAGTGTACAGAAAGAGATGTATCAAGTACCTTTGTGCTCACAAAAAGAAGCTCCTCTCGCTTTTCGTTCTTCCAGGACAGAACTTGTCCTCCATAAAGATGAATCTAAGATAGAAAACATCGTTTGCAACAATCAGATGACATGACGTGGATGACGATAACGATAATGACGATGATGATGATGATGATATATCGACAAAGTGGTTTTTTGTCGCAAAAGGAAGTACTTGACATCCGACATTGGCATCAAAATCAACATCACCAGCGCAATCAACCAGAAGAAGAAGAGGGGTTTGGGGTTCAAGTAGCGAACCACTGCGGAAGAGCCGGCAGGCTCCGTCAGGATGATCCTGGGCAACCCATCGCCATCGTTGACCACGCTCCATGACATCCTTATCACGACGCTTCGCCACGCCTCGATACGCAGAAGATGACGACGATCGGGATTTATCGAAGGGGCGAATCAGGGGGGGGTGGGGGCGCAACCCTACGGTATCGGCGTCTCTTCTTCCGAGAAGGTGGGACGGCCCAAAGATCTCGGGAAGGCAAACGATCGCGGCGGAGGGGGAAGAAAGAAAGCAGGTAGGTCGATTCGGTGAGTGAGGACGCGTCGCATCGCGTCACAGTTGGAGACGGCATAATGCGAGGAGGAGAGGTGGAAGCTGGCAAGAACGCGGAGAGAGAGAGAGAGAGAGGGTTTGGTGGTCTCCAACGAACGCGGCGAAGGGGGGAACGCGGCGAAGGGGGGAAAGAGATTATTGGGGTTTATTTACGTATTTATGAAATGTCGTTTCTACCCCTACCGATATTATCATCGCATACGCGTTCTTTAAGCATTAAAATATTCCATAAGCATCCATCATATTGTTCTTACTTACTTTATCTTCATAATAATTTTAAGAGTGATAATGTCAATTATAAACTAAGCATGAATCTTAGACTAGTATTTATTTATGTTACAATACTACTTAGAGGAACATAATACGAAAATAATCAATGTATTTTTCTTAGATGAAAAATACAATGAGAAGTTGTTTTTTATGAGAAAAAGAAAAACCTTAGGAGTTATGATCTGAAAAATAATAATAATAATCATTTTTGATATTGTTCTCAAGCAACAAATATTGGGGATAGTTGTCTCGATTTCATGGTCAGGAAAAGGAGAGCAGAACATAAAAGGAACACAGTGAAAATATTATAGAGGAATGCAAGAACCATTGTTTATATTGATTCAAAAGAAGAGTAAATTAGTGCTTCCATTGCAAGGAACAGTAACACAACACATAAGCATTTTATGCCTTCGAGATAAGTTACAGCTATACACACTAAATAAGTTAGAGCTCTTTATGGTAATAGCTGTACATCATGCATACATACCTAAATGAAGCATTAAAACAACTAATACTTGAAGATACCAAACCTCCTTCCATTAAAGATAATAATGGCCTTAGAGATAATTATGTAGTATGAGCTGTTTAATGCTATCTTAATTATGTAGTATGTATGGCCTTTTAGAGATAATAAGGTAAGTCATACTTCTTATATGTAACAAGAAAAAAAAATATAAAAGATGTATGATAATGGAGAAAATTTAAAGTCATGCTTATATCATATAACTCAAACTCAGAAACTTACAGTAAAACTCCATGTGAAGTCAGAGAGAATTCAGTCCATCTCCTATTCTCCCCTTGGCATACATTCATCTCCCCCATAAAACATCTCAACCATCCATAGATGATGAGATGATGGCCTCCATCTGTTAGTTTGGGCCGCGCTCACCACAACTTAACTGTCATGGACTGTACGAGTGCACGAGGCTCCTGCTAATACGAGTGCGGAAAAGACTACAACAGATCCATACAAAGGTAAAAAAGTGCAAATGTTATATGAAACTACAACAGAAGAAAGTTTGCAGTGACTCATTATTATCACCTACAATCTGCAAAATAACCCAAAGATCGCAGGGAGGGAAAACAAACAAACATAACGTACAAATGATGATGACTTTGTTATTTAATACACATACCAATACAACAACAATATGGCACAGAATGTTCATAATACTAGTATTACTCTCCAGCTTTTTCTTGCTTCCCTGGACATGTGCAATTTGCTTGCTCTTGCTTAAGCTTCTGAAGAAACAAAACATAGGATAACCTTGAGTCATTATATCTGATATACTAGTCAATCATGAAACAAGCAAGAAGACCCTTTTCTGTGAGCTAAGTTGTCAGTTCCAGGTAAAGCCTGTGCTGGACAATAGATACAAGAATGGAAGTGTATATATCCTGTCTTAAACGGGTGTAAAATGCAAATAATTGAACTGCATTGATGTCCTTTTAAGTACAGATACAGTGTTTGAAAGTTTTTCTAAATTGCTGTTCGGATTTGGGCTTCAGTCTTTATTCTCAATAGAAGATATAACCATCAGCAACTATTTATTCCTGAGCCTAGTTTGCTCTCACCAACAATGTCATATTTTAGTGGAACCATTGATACTGCAGAGAAGCACAACATGCGTGAATAGGCAAGTTTTTGTTACAGTTTATGACCAAGAGATCTCGTGATTTAAACATAACATTTGTATTGTTGGAAAATCACAACTAATTTTAAAATTATACATCACAGCTTCACAGGTACAACATGTACAGCTAAGGTGAAGGAAAAAAACACAGAAGAGCAACAATGTGAAGGAACATTGACAATGTTTATGTATCTGTTAGTATGATTAAGTTGAAATCTAGCAAGATAAGACAACTGATGGACACACAATTTTCTACAAATATTAAGTTATTTTACCCCAACTGGTAACATCTAGACAGCCTTTGCCTGGTATGATGCTATAACTGCATTTTTCAGAAAAGTAAATGTTTTCAGTATGCACCTGAACTTGGCTCTGAAGCTCTTTGATGTGCTGAATTGCCAGCTCCAACATATCCGAGGTGCTCGTTTGCTTCAATGAATTTGACAAATAAAATCATCACTTATGTAAGAAGTATAAGCAGTGAGTAATCAGATGAGACTAAGATTTGTGCAAAATCTATTTACCAGATAATCTTTATTCATCTATATTATGATGGAAGGATATAACGTTCATCACCTTCTAAACAAAGTGTTTTACATGTGTCATTTTACCTTGTCCATATTAGGCACAATATCTTGCAATTTCCGCAACCTTTTACTAATTCGAGTTCTCCTCTCCTTACAAAGACAATAAGAGTAAGTTCAGAATAAGTTATGTTGTGCTTGTAACAACTAGAGACAAATATCAAGTATAAATAGCACATACAACATAAAGCTGGTGCAAGAAACAACTGCAGAGCTTGTATTTTTCACTTACAAGATTCATGTATAAGAAGTACAAAATCACAGAGAATGCTTAAAAGAGAGAAAACAAGAGATCAGTCTGAGGCTGAGCTAAGGAGTGTGGCACAACCACGCTTTGGACTCTGCAAGGCACATAAGTGCCTTGCAGAGCCAATGGAAAAATATATGACGGATAACAGATGCAGGATCCACATAAGTGCTTGTGTTTTTCACTTTCAAGATTCATATATAAGAAATACAACATCACAGAGAATGCTTAAAAGAGAGAAAATAAGAGATCAGTCTGAGGCTGAGCTAACCCTCTCAGCAATACTCCGGGGATGTGTGGCACAACCACGCTTTGCTCGGACTCTGCAAGGCACTGAATCTTGTTGGACTTGAAGGTACTTCTCTAAAGCAGACATTTCTGATGAAGTTCTTGGAAAGCTAAACTGTAATCATTCAAGAAAATCCCCTGATTAACAGAACTCATGTTGATTTAAGAACAAATTGATATGAAGTCAAAGGCAAAACAAGATCCAAGATACTGAGATGTATTCAAGAATCTGGCTATTTATTAAGAAAGGTGAGTGACCAACTTAAGCAACAACCAAGGTCCAATAAAGATATTATGTCCAAATTGCTAATCAGCAATTCTTAACATTCATAGACATCTCTAATTTGTGACTCTGTTCCATTCTCCACAACATACCTGAGAGGCAATGTTACTGAGGCCAGTGACCATATCATCAGCATTATCTTTGGCCTGTTTATTAGGTGGAGCAGAAAACGCAATTGAATTGTTATCCTCCCAAGAGCCCAACTGAAAATTGCCAGAAATGTAGGATTGGCCAGCATGCCCAGCAGCCTCATCCGAACTGTTGCAGCATGTATCATTCTCTCCTATTTCTGGAATGCTCAATTCTGAGATTTGTGACAGTGAATCTCTTGAAAAACTCCATTGGGACCTCAACCTTCTATTTGCAGATGCATGAATGCTGTCAGTGCCTGTTTGAGAGTAATTAGCAGACACCCTTGTAGTGGAAACACCTATTTTTAGTAACAGAAATTTAATCAATAATGAAAGAGTTAATAAAAGAGTTAATCATTATTAGCAGGAGATCAGGGCTTCCAAGACAAATAAACAGATTCAAAATGCAGATCAAGTCATTTGATAGAATTATTTGGCATTTATTAACAACATTGTGTATGATAATTATTCCTTGAACTATTAGCACTTTGAGTAGAACAAAAAATAAATTAATATATGTGCTTTTACAGATTGGATCTTGACATTCCAGGACAACAAGAAAGCTAAAAATTAATCCAACAGTTGATTCTTCATGACTTTGTATTTCAATTTGTCATTCAGAAGCTGTTTTATCAAAAAGAAAAACTTTGTAGAACAAGATCATCAAACAATAAGCAGAAGCTTATTATGTTATTCGCAATCAAGTGTGACATATTATAATTGAACAATGTCTTCATAGCTTTTAGTTATAACAACAACATAGAATGTTCTATATGATGAAGATGAAGAAAATACAATAAAAAAATTAATTACAATCATGTCACAGACATGCAATGCCTTGTTGTTTAGGAGCTGATCTAAAAATTATACCAAGAAAATTTTACTCAGCTCACTAAACAGAGCGAAAATTTAAATCATTAGCCATATGATGTGATCCAGCATAACCTTTGGGCAGTGTGGGCTATCTTTTATTTTATGTGACAGTGATCAGAAAATTTAGCTGTTCATATTGTATTATTACAAAGGCCAGATAAAATTTAGTAGTTTGTAACTTTGTATTGCATTAACTATAAAGTGTTTGAAAGAGCAAATAACAAAAGAAGGGAAAATCTAAGCACGAAGGCGCTGGCATGCTATGCAACTGGACTCATGGCACCAGTGCAGTAAATTATTATGTATTTTTAGTGCATGGTAAGTGGCAAGTTCTATGCACCTAAAGGACCCACAAAAAGCTGGCACATGGTAAGTGCCAGTTTGCAAAAGATTTTGTGATTGTATATCTCTTCCACAACAAGCTGATCTAAATTACAGATCAAAATATATGGCATTCGCGGTTGACATTGATCTTCACAGTTCTAATAGGTCAGTCCAATATATCAATTGGTTACTAATAATAATCAGGAAAGCTGCATCTCTCAACCAAATATCAGAACCGAAAAGGAAAGCATCTAGAAAAAATGTTCCAGAAGAGAAAGAGAGAGAGAGAGAGAGAGAACCTCTGTTGTCTCAAGGAGGCCCATAACAAATGTTTTCTTTATGCAACTAAACGAATGTCATCACTCCTTGAACCATGAATTATAGTTAAACAAATCAGGTGAGTTAATAGTTAGACAGTAAAATGACTACTGCAATGTGTGAGTGAAATTAGACTCTTCTCAGTTTATCAAGATCCTCAACAAATCGATGGCCCCTCCATGCCCCCACAGAACGTCCCTTGGGATTGTCTCTATCTCCCTCAAATAACAAATGTAGTTAAGAGGACTCACATATCTCGAGGTGCTAATCAGGCTGGTCATTACTTGGCTAATTTGCTCAAACTTGGACAGCACCCAAGATATGGGTTTCCAATCTCCCAAGACTTTTTGTTTAATGTTGTCTCTGATGTTGTTGTATGATATGTACTTGTGAAAGAAAAAGTGTTTTGAATAGACATAAAAGCTAAAGCATGAATATTCAAAGTTTAAACATTAAAATAATCACTTGTGCAACTACACATGCAACCTTCCATTATCTGTTTTTATATTTAAAAGTTCAAAGTCCACCAACCAAAGGCTTTGGTCAATTAATCAACGTCAGATATTACCAGGACACAAGCGTTCCATTGTGATGTTGATCTCATTGGCATCAGGTTTGCACACATTAATCACCTGATAATGATTCACCAGATGAAATCTAATGACCAACCTAACATAAGAACAATCCTTACTTGCGTTCTGTATGACGATCCTTCATCAATAACTGGAGATGTTACCATTGTGTCAGCTAAGCTAGATAAACAAGTGTATAGTAAGTGAATAATAATTCTGGGCTTGGATAAGTCTAATTATCTCTTTCCTAGTCATTTGATCCATGAGTCATAGTTCTGATGCCAACTACTCCTGGTCGCAATAATTTTCTCTTTCTTGCAGCACCAACCATAAAATGAATGAAGCAATCATAGTCCACATGACACATGAGCCTAGCCAGCCATATCCCCTCGTGGGCTCCTCTTCGAGTTCATGCCACCCAGCACATGCATCCCAAGCCTTCTTTGTGTCTACCTCGTCGTGCAGATCCACAACCACGGACGCCGACAGACTCGTACACTGTACTCGAGCGTGCCAATACAGAAACGACGGCCAGCAATAGGCCGTCACATGATCTATTCTACTCGAGATCACAGGAGCCAGAGAGACTAACCGTGATCCGTTAGGGGATGGGAGAAGAACCCCGCGGGCGAGCTGCTGTGGCGGACCAAGAGGGACCCGCCCGCCGAAAGGTGGAGATCCCCGGGGCGGTACGACCCTTGCAGGCATCCCCCAACGCCGCCAGCGGAGTCCCGGCAACCAGACTCGGACGTGGGGCAGGACGATTCGCCCGCGAAGAACCGGCCCACCATCCCCTCCGACCCGGCGCCGACAGCAGACGGCTCCCCTCCTCCTCCTCCCCCGCCTGCGATGGCCGAGTCGGCAAGCCCGGAGAGGAACGAGCCCGGCGCCGATCCGTACCGGGAGAGCCCCTCTAGAGGCCCCATCGAGCCCGATTTGTTCCCGCCGGATGGGGACTGGTTCATGGCAGCCCCGCGCGGAAACGTGCGCGAACGAGTGAGGAAGGGCGAGGGGTTAAGTGGCTTTATGCGTCGATAAAAGGGAAAAGAAGGAATCAACGATCGGGATCGAATGCCGTGAGTGGGGCCCGAGCCAAGCGATAAGGTCAGTGGACGAGTGCGACTACAGTGGAGGGAATAGCGAGAGGAATAAGGCAGAGTTGGCATCCGTCGTATTATGAATGGCTTTCCCATGTGGTGGCTCGTGGCGTGCGCACGAATCTTGCGTTGGAGGCCGATGCACTCAGTATTGAGTTAAGCGAACTCTGTTTAAAATTCGGTCAAACATATATATATATATATATATATATATATATATATATATATATATATATATATATATATATATATTCTTTATTTTTCTGAGCTAGGAAAACCCACTTTTTCTCTTAGCTGCTTGTTTAAGCATGCACTCAACCAACAGAATCAAAAAATATAATTTTAAATAAAAAAAATAATATTAAGGGTGAGTTTTTGTCAAAAAAAAAAAACCTTTTATTTGAAAATTTTTCATAGCACCCTGACTTTAAAAAATTCTTCAAGAGTGCTCCTCATTTTATATTTATCTCCATCCGACTCATGAGGGTTACGAGTGACGATAACTCTTGTGCTCCCTCTTTCCTTATACGAGGATCATGAACAAATCATGTAGAAGTAGGATCGATCGAGTCTATGAGAAGTACAAAAATTGAGATGGTCTATGAGAAATATTTAAAGTTATAATTTTTTTTCAGTAATTTACTTATTTTTAAAAATATTTTCAAGTTGATATGTTTTTTCATCTTCCTTAGAGAAGAGAATGAGCATATTATTTAGAGTCTTATTTTTTGTCTTATGAATTTTAAATATTTATAAATTATCATTTTGTAAATAGATATATACTCTTATTTTATAATTCAATGCTAATAAGATCCTTTTCACTCCTTCCCTACAAAGACATCAGCATTCATAAAATATTAAAAAACTCAGGGAAAAAAAAGTGAGAGTAAAAAGAAAAATAAAGAAATTGTGAATAGTATATTATTACTTTTTTAAAAAAAGATTATAAATAGTAAAAAGAAAAAAAAATGTAAATAGGAACGTCGTAAAAGAACATGTACTTGATGCACTGCATCAAGTGATTCATCGTCATCATCATTGCACGCTTGGTTTCTGCACCATCCTGTTTTAACATACTTTTTATTATTTATTTCAGCATGTATAACAGTTGATGAACTCAATAAATTTTTCTTTCTAGATAAAAATCGATCATATTATCCAGCTTATCTCTTTCTTTAGAAGCATTAGCCCAAAGGGAAGGGATGGCGTGCCTCGTAATCTGTCCCACGTTATCTTCTCAAGGTGACTTCGTATGCCGAGCTCATCACCACCTCCATGTCCTTCTAAGCTTTATCTAAGTAAGTTGACCTGACCAACTTGTAGTTGTCGCATCAAACTGAGTCTTACTTGTTGTTGGATGTCGGCCATTCTTTTATCTTGCCCAACCTTTTGCATCGCCATTGTCTTCTTCTTCTTCTTCTTCTTCTTCTTCTTCTTCTTCATGTACACATCAGTGCTCCTCCCATTTCCGCCCGTGCGTGCTTTCACTTCGCCTTTGGAATCCAATCGGTCATACTCCGAATCACATTCTTGTTTGGCCTCCCTCAAACATCACATACTACTCTCTAAAAAGAAGTTCTCAACTAATATTCATTTCTTTCTCTCTCTCTCTCTCAAAGGTGTGCAAATCTTTAACTTTCTTTTTATTTGTTTTTAACAAATGGTAAGCTATAAGGATGGGATTAGTAGCTGACATCATCAAAATTTCTTGGATAATGCCTTAAGCATTTGAATTGAATAGGATGATATTGATAAAAAAGAATTCAACTATGAATTTATAGTCCTTAAACAAAGGTGAAACATAATTAATGGCAAATTATCTATGAAACCTACTTATCGACTATAAAAATACATTTGAGCCTAAGAACATAGACATACGTTTTTGTTAGTATTCATGTTAAATAAATAAATTTATTTTATTATTATTTTTCACTTATCTAAATTATTATGCACTGCAAGTGATCCAAACATATATATATATATATATATATATATATATATATATATATATATATATATATATATATATATATATATATATATATGTTATATTTCTAAATAATAATAACTTTTCTTGAAAGAGCTAATTTGGGTTGTCAATTTTTACAGCGTTTAATTCTTAATTAATCAATAAGTTGGAAAAACAGTGTTATTTAAATTAAAAAATATATATATATTGTCCTATAAAACAATATTTTTTGTTCCTTTAGTTATCCTCAAATAAAAATATGTTAACAGTCATTGTATAATATGTTGGCGACAAGACAAGTTCCAGGATATGTCTGGCGCCGCGACAAGCCACGCGTCCAGGATGGTGGGTCCGACTTCTGAGTCGGCAGCTTTAGGTGGCCCACGTTTTCGTGGAATAAGACTGTTTACTTAACCGCTTCCGACGCCTCCGTTGTTGATGCATATCTTCTCGGGGCCCATTTGGTGGGCCACATCCTAGTCCGGAGAGGAGAGGCGTGGTCGGCGACAAGAACAAGTATGTTTATTCCGTTACAGCACTCCATGGGGACGTGAGACTGTACATTTGGACTATATACGAGCGCGGGCCCCATTAGTGTCTCCAATTACGAGAGGATAAGAAGTTGAGTACGTCGTGTCCCAGTGGTAGAACATCTATTATTAACCACCGGTAGCCAACCTGGAAAGTAACGGAACGAGGGAGAGGGGCGCACGGCAAAATACTTTTGAATGCGTAAAGGAGGAGCTCCGCTGGCGTCGCGAGCGGCGAGCGAGTGGTGGCTCTCTTCCTCCTCCTCCTCCTTGTCTCTCCCTCTTCCTCGCGTTTCTCTTCTCGCTCCTCCCCTTTCCAAATCCTAACTCTAACGCTATCCCCAACCCCAACCGCGGGGGTCGGTGGCTGGAGAGACTGAAGGGCCCCCTTGGCTTCCAGCGACCAGGTGAGGCACTCCCCTTACGTTCTCCCCGATCTCCCTCTCCATTGTCTTTGGTTCTTCTGACTTTTTCTACATTTTATTCGTGATCCACTCTCCGATCGCTGTTGTTCGTCCCGATTTCGATGCTTGGTGGCACTTGGTTTACGTTTAAACGAGTTTCGTCGATTTGCCTGACTCGTGATTGCTTTGGATTTTGAGAGTGTTAGCTGGAGACAAGTTATCTTATTTTGTCGATTGGACATCATTTTGTTGGGTTCCTCCGTGTCAAACATTGTTTTTAATGTTACATATATGATTCTGAAGCAGCAAAACGGAAGAGAGGTTATGATTTTCTTTGAACTTCTATTTCTTATATGGCTTTGTTTTGATTAAAATTGGTCTGTGCAATGTCATATGCAATGATTCATACTCGATAGTAGAATGCTGCGCCTTGATCTCAAATGACAGTGAGTATCAAGATTGCGAAAAGGACCTGTCTCTGGTTCCCACCCGCCTGGGGGTGAAATCGGTTGACGTCCTCATAGTTCAGCTGCTTAGCGTTGTCTTCTATGATGACATTAAATGGTTTCGTACTTCAATTTGGGCATCTTTATTATGTGTGATTCTCCTGTGCTGTTTTGTTTTGTTTTTAATATTTATCATTTAGTTTTCTGTTGTACATCACGAACTTATTTGCATTCTCACATTACGAAATTAAATGTCTGGAGTTTGAGTTCCTATAATCGTGTTTTAACACAATTCATTGTGCCACTCATCTCAGAAGGTACATTCACCACGTAAAATAAGATAAAGAAGAAAGAGTAAGATGCGGCGCTGGTTTTGCTGTTCACGACATTTGGATGGTTCTTTCCATGTTCATGAAAATGAATACCTGACAAGCTCAATGCATGACGCATATGGTATGTTGTTTTTCCTGTTGAATTACTGTACATGAATTAGTTTCTCTGAAGTGTCCTGATGTTTTCCTCTAATATTTGCACTCTGTAAAATGCACCTTGTGCACTGAGTTTCTAAACAGATAAAGAAGATACCTAGTGGAGGTATCTGTTGTTGTTGAAACTAGACTTGAAAAAAAATGTCATTAGAAGTGTATTTTCTATTTGTTTTAGTCCTATCCTCTTTATCCTCGTGGCTTGTTTTGGTTTCTTGAGATCATCAACTTGGATCATTGCACTAATATGCTATCATTTTAATATTTGATACTTTCTAACTTACATATGCGTGCTCATTATGTCCGATGATTTGATTCTATTGTCTCTCGTGCTTATCATGCATAGAATATTTTTATTTGTATTGTTTTAACATATTGTTTTCCTGTTTGAGTTTCTAGCCTGTGCTCCACTCTCATAAACCTATGGTTTTTCTTCCTTCACAATCTAATAACTTGATCTACACTTGTATATTATTTAAATCTTATTATAGGGCATGTCCAATTTCCCCAAGCCTGAAACTATTTTAAAGTATATTTATATGGTCTCACTTTTACTTGATGATATTGGAGATGTAGTCTATTGTCTGCTTTGATCGTTTGTCCCTTGAAGATGAATGGTGCTTTTTGTGTTAAGACATGCAATATTCCCCTTTCTGGGCCCCTTTTTTACTTTTTCTTTCACCAACTATGATTGGAAACCTTCTAACTGAACATTAAACTTAGAAGTTTCAATTCTTGATTGATGTTATAAATGATGATGATGATTATTGTTGGAATGAGATAAACTTCTGATTTTATCTTGATGACTACTTACAAAAGGTAAAGTTCTATTTTTTTGGTTACCTGTGATGTCATTTGCAATGTTTAGAAATTAGTTGGTGTAAAAGAAATAGCAGCTTAGGTGCCAATGAGTATTTAGGCGCTAGTTGGCTGCCATGGAAGTAGCATAAAGAGCTAAAACCTACATTGACAGCAGCAAAAGAGGTGCCTTTGCAACTGTCAGGACACAGTGGTGGTTCACCATAGCAGCAGATCTTGCCTTTGCCAACTTTGATGGGGTCGACAACAGCTGCTGGCAC